ATTTCTAGGGCGCTGTGCAGAACCACGTGAACTTACTCTTTGCAGAGCTGATGTGAGTATACAGGGCTTATTAGCAGAGGTCTGTGCTGTGAGAAAGTAGCTAAATTGCACCTGGACCCCAGCTCACTGTGGAAGCAACCTGCCTGTATTTATCCAGTCCAGCCCTTAAGCAAAAGCAAGAGTGGAATGATCTTAGTTCCTACACTTTCACAACCTGATCAATTACCTATCAGAAAGGAATAGTTTCTATATAAAGATCCACACAGCTGAAAATTTTCTCTCATGAAAAGGACTTGCTGCACTTGCATTTTCACATTCTTGGAGGTCTGAAGCTGCATCTCTGCTGGAAACAAATATTAGGTACTTCAGTTTTAAGAGCAGTGATGACGGATTGGTTCCTGTCTCTTATAAACAGATGACATTTTAAAATTCATCACTTTTCTCTCTGGAGCAAAACTGTCCAACTCATAAACATCTTTCACAACCTCTCATGTTATTACAGGCCATTGGAGGGTTTATGCTTCTCCAGAATTTCTATTGACCTTTTGCTAAAAGTTTGTGCTTTAATCCTGGGTGGGTACTGACAAAAACCAAACCCTAAGGATACCAGAAAAGCAGATGGCACTATTGTTAACTGCAGTCATTTGAACTGCCACATAACAACACTGTGTGGTCTCAGGCCTGAGATGTAATGAAGCTTGGCTGTCTGAGAACCTCGGGACTGACTTCACCAACACTTCAAACTCAACTCATGTCAAATGTGAAGAGAGGAGCCCACCAGCAGATACTGTGGGACATTTGGAGTGATACTGGGGTGTAAATTTCTTACAGAAATGATTCATGATCTGCTCTAAGACATCAGACAGAGGTCACATTGAACAGGAGAAATATGACATCCGATAGCACCTGCTACCTCAATCCCTCTCTTCTGACACAATTAAAGAAAAAGAAGAAGCAATTAAAATTATTCAAGAAATAAGTAACTTTATGTTAGGTTACAATACTGCAATATTTAACCAGTACATTACAGCTTTCCGAATCATTGAGCCCTGAGGAGTTTATGAACACTACAGAAAAGTACCTCAGAAAAAAAAAAGCTGAAGAAAATTACTGTATTAGTGAAGGCACAGGGGATATTACTCCTCGAAAAAGGCCAGTGTGTGTAAAAAAGAAACATCAGAAAAAATATATCTGTGATAATGCTGAAGCAGTAATAGCTGTGGCAAATATATTCTTTCACTGTCAGCTGAGTACTATTCTGCATTTATATTACAAACAAAGCCGCAGGACAGGCTTACAAGATTGGATGCATTTTCATTTCATTAATGGAAAAATGGAACATACGGAATTCTTTCTTTTGAAAGCTATGACAAGCTGGTGGAAAAGGGTGGTAACAGAAGCAAAATCTGCCTTCCTGTCTGCCAGTTTTACATACACAAATTTCAACAATTATCCTTGGAGGCATTAAAAGGCATTCCACCCCAGCAATGCTTCAGCAGTGAAGGAGGATGAAAATTAAAGCCCTTTCTGCTGCACAGCTCTAAGAAGGAGACAAAAACCACACAATGACTTTCCTCTGTTTTCATGATCAAAAGCCTATTTCTGATTTCTACACATAGCAATCAGTAGTAATATTGCAGAATCAACATTCATTACCATGGTAACATCCCTTGATATTACAAGCAGTTAATTATGTCGTTGCTGTGTGGTTCACCGTGTGTGTTATTTGCGGAAGTAGATAAACATTTAATAAAAGCATCTTTGAATACACGAACAAAATAAAAACTGCTTTTCTATCCCTTGTGGTCATTCCTATGTTCTATGCAAAAAAAAAAAAAAAAAAAGCACTAATTAAAGGTATTTGCTGAAACCTATAGAAAGGCAAAGTTCTTGGTAAAAAGAAATCTGGTGACTTTATGTGGCAAAAAGTTCTGACAGATTTTAATTAAAAAAATAATTTTCTAAAAAGATATCATATAAAGGTATAGTATATAATATAAAATAGTAATATAATTGTATTTCATACACAGATGTAAATTACTAGTTGGAAATTACTAGAAAAACAGAACAGATGACTTCTGATTATCTCAATTATTTCTGAGCTATAACATGACATCTCTATCACATCACAAAGTAACTGTCCTGATGGTATTCAGGATCCCTCCTGTAAGAGAAAGCACATCCTACAACTGTTTGATACTCTCAGTTCATAGTGCCAATTGAGTAGCTCTGTGCTGCACACTGGATATACATCTCTATGAGCTGGAATTAACACTACATTGTTAAAAAGCAAGCTGCAAATACAATGCAGAAAAAAGCTAATAATTGAGTAACAAAGTTTGCACAAACTATTTAGAACAGAATTTAAAAAGCAGATCTTAGACAGAACTTAGAAGGAATTTATTTTGGGTGACTCCTCAAGTTTTGCATATCCATATGTTTTTATTAATAATTTAGCCAACTATTAAATGCATGACAGCAGAGTCTGTATTTCAAGTGCTAGCAGGAAACAGAGTACATTGCAGAATAACCCGACTTATGCAGCTAAAAAGCCGAATGACAGCAAGTGAATTTCAACATAATCAAATACAAGGAACATACATGTAAACATTTCCTGATTACACCTGGATGATAAAAACCTGTGATTAAAAAGCTGTGCGTCACAAAATTTTAAAGATCATAGTGGATTATCACCTGAACCCATCAAAGTGTACTAATATCATGCTGCACTACACATGTCAAAAAAGAGGAATTATCACGTGGAAGTAAAGAAATGACCTTCCCTTTGTTAAATTACCACTTTGCTTTGCAGTTGCTAATATAGCATATCCTGACCTGATTAAGCCACCAGAAAAAGCATATTGAAAGCCCTAAAAAATTCAAAGGAAGACAATAAAAATGTTCTGCTGTAAAAAGTAACCTATTTAAGAGAATCAAAAAGCGTCCCAGCTAGCAAAGACTGTTGAGAGATTTTGATCACTATGTGTATATAATTCATTGTTATCTGCTCTTGGGTCCTGAAATACAGTAATTTTCATCGGTAAGAGATACCTGAGGCAGTATTAGACTAGTTACAATAGCAGCCCTTACTAACCTTTCCTCTGACCTAGAAATGACCAGGTACTTTCTGAGTTTTATTTTGCTGTCATTTCTTGAAGCAATGAGTAATGGATGGACTCTGCAAACAATCCTTGGGGGTTGCTCGCTGGAACTATTGAGAGTTTTCTTGATCAGCTTGCTGATGTGTGCTGCTCAGATCGCCTGACAGATTTTTGCACAGGTCATACTGGCAAGAGTCTTGGTGGTTTTATTCCTGGCTTCCCATGGATCATCTGCTAGCTAACCTGCAGACAGCTAAGCTCTTCAGTTTGCAACAAAAGCAGGAACTGGTAAGGTTGGTGGCATCTCGGACTCTCTTGTGTTCTATTTATTGTAATTAACTGTTAATTGCTAAAGGATTTATGTGCATTTGTTTAACCCGTTGCCCAGATGCCCTTGCAGAAGGAATACACTACAGCAGAATAAAACAGCTGTGCTTAGAGGTTTACACTTGGCTTTTGAAGGCTGTGATTCCAAACTTTCAAATAACACAGTATTTATAGCTTTTCCTAGGATCGTAATAGTGGCTACTAAAATTATATGGACACACATAAAAGAAAATGAAAATGCAAGTACAACTTGGCTTTCACATCTTTTTGACCTGTAAATTTAGGTAATGTATATTTAGTTCTACCCACTGAAACACTCAATTTGAAATTATTTTGCTTCGACTGTGATGTTGCAGGATATAAACAAACTTTGAAATCATTGCACTTGTGCTCTGATTTCTTAATAACGATGCTTTTTGCACATAACTAAATATAGTAACCTTTGGACTTTGGTTCAACACAGTTTAAAAATACTGCTTTTATCAAAGTCTAGCTAAGTATATTTAATACCTGAATCGACTGAAGCTTTTTGTTTATTTTTTTTTTTTCTGATTAGTCTTGGCAATATATAAATCAAATTATAGAATGCAATATTTGTTGATTTTCTTCCCAAGGTAGCTTTCATTTTAACATATTTCCTCTGGTCTAAGCAAAACACTACAAAGTAGCCAGCCTACAGTAACACATTTTTACAAAATGAAATTGACCAGTGTACACTGTGCAGATGTTATATTTAAAGAAAGTATTTGGATTTTATACAACTATCACTACACGCACCAAGTATGATTCTGGGACTGCTGAACTGCAGACAAGCTCACAGAATGAGATGTGAGTTCTAGCACACCTCTAACAAACCACAAAATCTTTAGAACAAAGACTATCTGTGCTAAAATGACTAATTTTTTCTTAGCACTGTCAGCAGCTAATATACTCTCAAGTTTAATGGTATGACAGTACGATACCAAATCACAGAACCTCAGGGCTCAGGACAACCTCAGGAAAGGACCTCAGGAGATCATCGAGTCCAGCCCCACTACTTAAGCAGTTTCTCTTCACACAAGTAGGCATTCAGGTGCGTCTTCAATATCTCTAGAGATGGATACTCCACAGGCTGCCAGTGCTTCATCACCCTTACCATAAAGAAGTTTTTTGCATGTTAGTATGGAACCTCTTATGTTCAAATTTTACACCATTTCTCCTTGTCCCATCAGTACACACCACCGAGATGAGCCTGGCCTTATCCACTTGCAACACATCTTCCTTTACATATTTATAAACATTCATCAGATTCCCGCTCAGTCTTCTTTTCCCCAGCCTGAACAGACCCAGGTTACTCAGCCTTTCCTCATATGGGAGATGGTCCAGATCCTTTATCATCTTTGTGGCCCTCCAGGGCACTCCTTCTAGGAGATCTCTGTCTTTTTTGAATAATTGCATACATTAATTCAATTTTTTTTTTGTGACATCTAAAATAATATGCAGAGTACTATATAAATATTATTTTTGTTCTAATCCAAACATGAGAAGAGCCTTTGCAAAGATTATTAGGTTAATATAGGGTACGGCACTTACCAAGATGTGTGTTCATCATCTTTGCACAATATTTGCACATGGCTTCCAAGTCGTTTAGCTGCCCTTGTAGGAATGAAATTTGGGCCTCCAATTCCTCCTCCTACAATAAGCATTAAAAAAACCATCATCTTTATATGACATACAGTAAAATTGGTTATACAACTTTTGAAATGTTTTGGTGTCTTCTAATTTTTCCTACTTCTTTGCTTTTGAGAAAATTTTGGAAATGAGAAGAATCACTTTATGGACGTATTTATTAAAAGACTTGTAAATTCTTTCGTGATTTCATGGATATAGGGCTTAGTATTAATGCTTCAGTTTTTTTAATATTATTTTTTCATCTAAAGAGTCCAACAAACCCCTGCCTACATTCCCATAATTATCCAGGAAAGGTTAAGAATTCACATTTATTTTCCAGGTTACCTATTTGTTTTTGCTTGTACACAGCACAACAGTAATGGCTGAAAAACTCATCAAAGAGAAAAATTACTTTTCTATTTCAAGACATATTTAATGAGACCTAATGTTATACCTCAATGACGCACTATCATCATATATTTTGGGATATTTATTTGTGTCACATATGCTCTATATGTATGCAAAACCTGCCAAGGCAACTGGAATTCCACAAAACCTATCACGTAGCGTTTAGGTGAAAACTAATTTAACTCACTGTAATACAGTGAGTCTACATTATCAAGTTATTTAATAAAAATGCACCAAGTACAATTTAAAATACCATTTAAAAAATCATTTTAAGGCCCAGCGTTAAGCCATATGATCCATATCCGCAATAGAAACTACATCAACCAACAATTTCTCTTTAAACTCTGAACTTTGAACCTTGTTTGCTATTTACAAATGCATCCAGTCTCAACTTTGAAGATGATTCTGGGAAAAAGTTCAGCACTTCTTTAGAAGAATACCTTTAAAGCTTAGACATACTCAACATTAAACAGTTTTTTGTTTGTTTATTTAAGAACACAATTAAATTGAAGAAGATGAAGGCAAAGTAACTTGTGAGCATCCTGTTTTTCTTAGAGTTTTACAGTTTTATCATACTCTTTTTGATGGAGATTGCTGAATGTAAGAGTGTGAATTACATTTCAAATGAAATAAATGCAAAACCGCTCAGTAAGAATAAAGAAAATGAAACAATCTTGTTTTACACATACAAATGATTTTAATCTCCACCACAAACTGTGACACAGATGTAAGTAAAGGAAACAGAAGAGTACGCAGCATATATCCAAACGCAACTGATGAATAAAGAGAAATTTAACGGTAGCATTTTGCAAGATCCAGCAATATCATTTTCTGGCTATGCACCTTTTCATCACATCTACAATCTATAGATACGAAATAATTTTTCACTACTATTTTCTTGTTATTAAGCCCTCACCTTATTTTACTCATCCCACCTGCTTTTGAGAACTTAAGCCTCAAAGGGATTGAGTTGATGTTGGCAATTTATTGTTTCTGAAAGGTTAACCTCATTGAAATCCTGCAGTTCTGTCACAACCTACACATGCATATCTGCATTGCTTCTCGATTAGTCTCCGCAGAAGACCTTGTATGTATAGCTAATGATTGCAAGAAATAATCTACCATCAGTTTTAGATTGCCAGTGCACTTCAGATCTAGCTATAAGATGCGGAGAGGCAGCAGTATTCAAGTATCTTAATATAAAATAACATTTTCAACTTTATAAAAAATAGTAGTAATTGAAGCACAGTTTATCTTGTACAATGGAATATGAAAATTTAACATCTGGTAATTCATATTTTTCCCACACTATTTCCTCTTATTCACAGATCACAACAGCAGTAAATTGATTTTTAAATACTTTTGGACAGCTCTATCCACTTGATCAGATTATATAACTAACCTTTTCAATGGCACAAAAGTTCTTCGTCATCTGGCACATGAGACAGATGCTTAGTACATTGCTCCTTCAGCTCAGCTGGCATCTAACATGGGCAGCAGAAGCATTCAGCATACCCAGTGCTCACAAAGGAGGGTAATGTGGCCAGGAACTCACAGACAGTGCAAGAGGTTTCCTGCCAAGTACGAAATCTTGCAAAGGGCTGAATGAACGAATGCACTTTGAGCTTATTGTTTATCTGGCACCCTCAGAAAAAGCACCAAGGAGCACTGACAGCAGGATGAACAAATAGCAAGACAGTTAACTTTGCATTTGACACACAAGAGACCCAGATATACTGCATAAGAAGACAACATCCAAATGGTGATTATGGGCTATGAGACAGTGCTCTTCTGGGAGAGTCACCTGCAGCGCTGTGGCAGGCGATTGTCCCATGAGGGTGACAATTTGAGTGGGAGGTTTGCTCTGCTAGAGTTGCAGGTGAGTAGTGGCCAGTGTGCATTGATAACTAACAGGAGACTGTCAGGATCTTTCAAAGTGTAAAAGTTTATACCCTGTACAGGGAAGTTGCAACTGAGACTTGACAGAGTGGGAAGAAGACATGCACTCCTAAGGATAGAAACTTGCACCTTGTGGCTCCTGGTAGCAGGAAGACTACTGTATGATGCAAGGCCCATGTTGCAGAAAGACTACTTGCACCTAGTGTTCTGACTGCTTTCTGCTTTTTCATGCAGACACCAATTACATGGTGATATGAAATCATTTTACCTCAAAAGTAACTGTAGGGCTCTTGAGCAAGGGTGAAGGGGACAGGAATCCTTGTATTGTTTCCCTTTAGCCCTATGGCAGAAAGGAAAAAGTCTGGATAGCAGTATTTACGGTGAAGATATGCTGAAGGCCCAGTTGGCTGGGCAAGGAATTTCTTAATGAACTAAAACGATAAATGCATATATTGAAATGGAAATGGAGAATGCATATGTGGAAACAATGACAGGGAACAAAAGACAAGCACACAAACATTGCTTGGGCACAGCAACAACATTTGGAAGGACAAAGCCCAACTGGAGCTAAAATTAATGCAGGACATGAAAGGGTAACAAGAAGGAATTTTGAAAGTATGAGAGAAACAAAAGGAGGTTTGAAGAAAATATAGGCCTTTTGCTTATTAGGTGAGATAACAAAATTATGGACAATATGGAAAAGTCTGCAGCAACACCATTTCTGCCTACAGCATTTTACCTAATATCTACTCCTAGACCTTTGCATGTACAGCATGGACAGGTTAGTGAATACCTTAAGAAGTCAAATGTGCTCAAATACTTGAGATATTGTCTCTCATGGGTGCTGAGAGAGCTGATGGAGTGGCTGTAACACCCATGGCTGATTCATGAAAAATCACTGCTATTATAGAATAATCTTGATGACTGAAGAAAGGTTAATTTTACACTCATATTAAGGAAAATAGAAAGGAGGATCTAAGAAACTGCATAATAGTTGGCCTCACCTTAGTCCTTGGAAAAATCGTGGAGTATGTCCTCTTGGAAACAATTTCCAACATGTAAAAGGACAAGATAAGAATCAAGAAAGGTTGACAAGGATTTACTAAGAGCAAATCATGCTTGGCCCATCTGATTGCCTGGTGTGATGAAATGACTGGCCATGCAGATGAATGGAGAAAAGCGGATTCAATATCATACATCATGACACATTTCCAAAAGCTCTATCATTTGCTAGGTGAGGAGGTATGCGCTGAACCAAAAGATTATACGTGAGCTGAAAACTGGTCAGGCCCATCAAGCTCAAATAGTTGAGTAAATGGCATGACATCCAGTTGGAGGTTGGAAATGAGCACAGTAACCTCAGGGGCTGTTATGGAGATACTGGTGAATATCTTCATTGGCAGCCCGTGTGAGGAAACAGAAGGTGATCTCAGTGGGTTTTCAAATGATGGGAGGAAGATTCAGACTGGGAGGTGTGGTTGCCACTCAGTCAGAACTTCAATTCAGAAAGACCATGAGACACTGGAGGCCTAAGCAAAACACATGCTTTTGAGGTTTCTGTTCAAGAACCTTTAACAGATGCAAAATTCTGCACCTGGGAAAAAAACAAGCAAACAAACAATGCACTTATAAAGATAGGAAAAGAACCAGCTGTGCTTCAGGCCTGTTGAAAAGAATATGGAGGCAGCAGTATCTGCTGGGCTCAATGAGAACTAACAAAGTGCTCACATCACAACTAGTGCAAACAGTGCTCTAGGCTACATTAGGAGGAATGTGGGCAGCAGACCCAGAAAAGTCAATGCTCTTCTTTATTGAGTGCTCTTCAGGCCTCACTGAGAGCATCAGTTCAAGAAGGATGCTGAGAAACTGGAATAGGTCCAATATGGGCTACTGTGTTATGGGTCTAGAGAATAGTCTTGGGCTTGTTTATTTTGGCAAACAGGAGACTAAAATTTATACTGGGAGCTGCAACAACGTGGAATTACAAAGATGATGTACATAAATTCTCAGTAGTGGCAGATGATATAGAAGGCCAAAAATTGCCTCTTATGAGGTTCAAAATGCTCATTAGGAGAATATTCCCCATTAGGAGAGCAGTGCAGCACTGGAAGAGTTCCTATTCAAAGCCACTGACTTGATCCAATGTCAGTGATTGTACTTTTCCAAGTAGCAGTTAGAGCAAAAGTCACTTTCAATCAACATTTCTGACACCAATCTACTTACAGTACCTTTCAAAAATTGTTCTGCAAATTATGAATGTTTCACAGCTTTGTAAAGGTAAGAAGCAAAATCAAAAAGCACTCCAGAGAAAGTACACCTTTTTTCCAATACTCTAAAGTCAAATTCTTTGGCAATAATAAATGAAACAACCGATTTATAGCTGCTATTGTGCAGATGCTATCAATTCGTGTCTAGAAGTATTTGCTGCTCCTTCCTGTAAGTGCCAACTTTTGTGTTACACGGTGCGGAGCCTGTAAGTTCCTTAGATACCATTTTTATTTTGTGTACGAAGACACTTTGGGAATTTGATCCCTTTTACACATGAGCAAAGACCCATACATTCTTTGAACTGACCAAATGGAAGTTAAAAGGAAAACATGGTTCATCCTTCCTTAAGAAACTGACCTTTCAGCTAATCTGACAGATGCAGTATCAGAAACACGAACAGTGACTTAAACCCTCTCAGTCACAGCTCTCAAAGGTTAACTAGTTGACCACAAAATTAAAAAATAATCTAAATAACTATTGGGACAAAAAATCATTGCCAAATTATTGAGAACAGTGTCCTACAAAGCATGTAAGTATTACGAGCTGTATGATGAGGAAGAAAACTAAATCAAACAGCAAATAAAAAACAAAAGGGATCACTGCATCAGATGTGCAAATTAAATGATGTTATTTTACAGTAAAACATATTAACAATATTTTCTGAAAATGTAGTCCTGGAATTTCAAAAACCTTACCACACTTTCAACATTGCTGATGATTTAGAACCTTACAGATGATCAGTTATTAATTTAACAGGAGAATGAAAAGGAACTATGCTATTTGTGATGCCTCATTGATTTATATTTCACGAACCATCTAAGTTAGGGTAGTATAGGGAAGCATTTACATCTCTAATCAAAGAAAGAATTTATTCGAATAACTCCATATACACATCTCCAACTATTTTTCTTGTGGTTAGACTGAATCTGCAAAACAAACAAACAAACAAACAAAAAAAAAAAACCTGATTTACATACATGTTTCTCATATTTGTCTTTCTCCTTCTCCGTACCCAGAACCTTGCCTACATTGCTACATCTCCTTTTCACTTTTTCCCCAAAAACTGATTTCTCTGTGATGAATCATTTGCCATTTCTACCCTATTTTTTAAAAAATCTATACAGTTCTAGTGCCTCCATTTTGTCCAAAGCTCATTCTTTCCTTTTTATTACCTTTCCTTTCATCTATCTTCTCACCATTATGAAGACAGCTCAGGAAATAAAATTTTTATACCCTTCCTTTTTCCTGAGCTATGTGGACTCAAATGAGATCTTCCACCACAACTCATTTTTTCAACAAATTTTACTATTTCTGAAAAACACGTATAACTAACTAACTGACAATGGTCATCACCTTCAAGAACAGATTACAGCAAGTTTTACAGTTGTGACAGAGTAATACTATTCTTTTACAGTTCATCACTTTACAAGCTGCAATAAGGTTTGCAAAAATGATTAAGGTCACTGGAATTTATCATCTTACACAAGCCAAGGTCTGAAGAAAAATTGTTTTGGCAGAAGCCATTCTTTTTCATCCTTGCTTTTATCAGTTTAAGCAAGCTTTCTGCCAGATACATGACATGCAGCTTAACATAGAACTAGAAAACTGGGAATATCAATTCACGAATTCAGGTCTGTAATGCCTTTCCTTCATGCTAACAGTAAGTTTTCAGTCTTACTATTCAGGAATTGAAAGAAAAATTAGTTTTGTCCATCTATTCATGTAGAAACCCAAGAAAAAGCAATTTTGTTATCAATGGCTTACAATTACATATGTCCCAATTTCTCATTCCTGAATATTCAGGCGAAATTCCATTCGGGTGAGAACTCAGCGGCTCTTGAAGTCGGTCAGCCTAGCAGCACTACCAAGCGCTAAGTGCGATGGAATATAAACTGTCTTTAAGTCTATTTCAAGATATGTAAGATGCTCAAGCAAGAGTGTTGCAATCAAAAATGGAATGCAAGAAGTGACAGAGTTGTGTTGGAACAGAAGTCTAATTTTACTGATTTGGTGGTGCTCAGTGATGGGTAGGGTGAACTGCAGTGAAAAAGTATGTAAGAATATAATCATTAGCGGTACTGCCCAGAATACTCTCCCAGAGTACCTTTCCAGACTGTAAATATTTGCAAAGGAAAGGTAGTTTTTATTTTTATTTTTTTTAAGTTTGTAGCCTCTAGATTTTTCCTATATTAACTTGCTCCATCATATTTTCCACTCTCTCAGTATTCATAGTAAAAGCACTAAAGAGCAAGCCCCTCAGCACTTGGCAAATTGACAGGGCAAATTAGAAAATAATTCTGATGAAGTATTGAAACATTTAGAGGAAAGTAACTGCAAAAATGACATTGAGTCAGGGAAATTCTAAAGCCAGGGACTTGTTCAGAGTCTTACCAGTACTTAAGTGTTTATTCATAAAACATACACAAGGTATACCCTTAGGATATTGGTAGAATTTTGCATGTCAAATAAAATTCAGATGCATGGCATAAATTGCTTTCTCATTTAATTTGATTCAAATTTCCCTCGAGAAAACAAGTATTGGTTACTGTTTCCATTTTGTGAAAATTTACTTCATTTTATTTTTTCAATCTAATGACTAAATATAATTAAGTACAAGATTTAACTTACTAATATTGAACCCCTGATAGTTGGATGTTGGTTGACACCCACAGAATTTATGATCTATGCCAGCCACAGAACACTTTATAGCATATGCTGACACTTAAACCTGAAATCACCATTTCTGAACAATGAAATACTTTAAAGAAATTATATATTAATTTATGTATTATTTAATTGCATCACATCCAGACCGTCATCAGGAACAAGATCTTATCCTGCTTGGTGCCACACAAACATAAATAAAAAACCCTTATTCTGAAGGACTTTTCAGTGTAAGCCAAGAGAGAACAGATGGCTACAGAAACACATATGGAGAGGACATGAAAACAATACGGTGATATTAGTCAGTCTTATAGACATGGCTTCAGTATGTTACCAACCAAACTGTTGCCAATGGAAAGCAGGAAGTTTTTGGAGTGCTCTGAAGAATCATAAGGCATTTGCTTTGCTGATGTTCAGAGAAAGCTTCTGCATGAAGAAGGGGCTATGAAATGATTAGATGTGAGCACAGTTACTTTTACTTGATGATGTTCACCTGGGATGAACTGGTGATGGAAAGAAAATTTTTTTCAAGCAAAAGCACAGGACATGAGGGACTTGCAACTGCTGGCACTGCCCTACGGGACCGCAGGGAGACAGTTTAAGAACAAAATCCATGAAATGCTGGAAGATCTATGGAATGCAACAAACCATGCACAACTGACTGTGGAAGGATAGGTACCAAGAAAATCTGTGGTGTTTCACTTGGTAAGTGAATAGTTAGGGCAACAGAAAGAGCTGTAAGAAAATAGAAATTATCCCTTAGAATATAAATACTGATAAAAGGTTTCTGTCAGAGCTGCTGTTGAAACTGTTGACTTAAACATATTGCAGTATTTTTGCAGTATAAATAATAAAATTGAGATATTTATTTAGTTAGTACTTGGAAATGCCTATAAATAGACACACACATGAATGAGTTCCTCTGTTATTGGTTGGCATCACATCTGACTGATGCTAAGACCACACAGACGACTAGGGCAAATGTAAGAAAAATGTGAGCAGAGGGAAAAAAAAACAAAAACATTTTCTGAATTTAGAGCTCTCTGAAATAATGCTGTAACTATTCTTGAACGGATATGGAATGATAAATACATTATTATTCTAC